TTTCGAAAGCGACTGAAATGGACCCAATAATGTCTCGAGTCATGCGTTGGTTACTGCACGGATGTCGGAATTGTCAGCCCATAAACATTGTTTGCTCTGGGGAAATCGGGTGGTAATACCGCCGAAGTACCAAAAGCAAATATTGGAACTACTGCACGCATACCATTCCGGAATATGCGTAATGAAGGCTAATGCTCGTAGCTATGTATGTTGGCCCGAGATGGATAAACAGATCGAATTGATGGTAGCCCAGTGTGGAAAATGTCAGTCAGTAATGAAGAATCCTCCAGCAGCACCGCGGCAACATATTCCGGCTAGAGAAGAGCCTTGGGAGACATTGCACATTGATTTTGCTGGGCCGTTCCAAGGGTACGTATTCTTAGTGGTTGTAGACGCTATGTCAAAATGGCTCGATGTCAAAATAGTAAAAAATATGGCAGCTTCGGAAGTCAAGCGTACACTACGGGAAGTAATCGCGACTCACGGGGTGCCCAAGCGAATCATTTCGGATAATGGCACGGCTTTCGTGTCGGCGGAAATGAAAGATTTCTACGCTTCGAACGGAATTAAATTTAGTTCCACGGCACCATATCACCCGTCTAGCAATGGGCAAGCGGAACGCATGGTCCAGTATCTGAAAGATTCACTAAGACGAATGACTGAAGGAGACATGGAAACGAAGTTGCAGCGTGTTCTTTTCAAACAACACACCACTCCCAACACAACAACGGGTAGGACACCGGCAGAGATGCTGATTGGTCGACAGCTGCGTACGGTTCTAGGTATGGTGCATCCTGATGATGGCAACGAGAACGCGTTAATAAATATGCCAATTAATCAGGTAAGACGTTTTGAAATTGGAGAACCCGTGTATTTTCGAAATTACGGGGCTGGCCCCGCCTGGTTGCATGGGCACATTGTAGAAGTCACTGGACCGGTTTCCTATGTGGTCGAATCGACAGACAAAAGAATCGGCCGTCGGCATGTGGACCAGACACGTCGGAGAATAGTGCAAGTAGAAGAACCCCACGTCGCCCCGGGGAAAGGTGATACATTAATGCCGCCCCTCATGGTACCAGGTTCTCCTAAGATACAAGATCCACCCGAAAATACGATATCAAGCCCCAACGTAAAAGTTTCACAAAATTCAAACACTCCGAGTCGGTCAACACCTACCTCGCCAGACATCTTATATGAACCACCTGATCCGGAAGTACAACCTCCAATGACGGATACTGTTGGAAATAAGGTAACACGTTATGGCAGGGTGGTTAAACCTCCACAACGCTTTGATCCTGACTAATCGCGGAGGAGTGTGGTATTCTTTGGCAACCCTACAAATTTTAGAAGACAAAGAATAGGCAATAGAGGTTGACAGCTGAGATGTCAGAAAAAGACACGGATAGAAAAGATCTGGTTGTTAGAAGTTAGAGGTTAATAAAAAGCAACTTTGGATTAACACTACAACCATCTATGAAGTTTCATTTAGTTGGCGATAGGATATATTATACATTCTTTATTACCGCCCACAATATTCTGCCTTATCCTGAGTTTCGCCCGAAAATTGTTCATTCGCCCTTAGGCCGTGGTTATGCCACCAATTTTAATTGGCAACCAAAAAAGAAAAATTTCTGTGATTGGTGAGAAGTGGTTACGCTCTGTTTGCTGATTGGCGAGCACAGGGTTGCTTCTTAAGAAATGCCTTTTTCCATTTCATACAATTTCGCACACAATGGCAGCACTGAAGTATAAATGCAACCAAAAATGCATCAAAATTGAAGTCGGAAAATGAAAAATGGAAGAACATCTTAATATTATTTCTTTCTTTAATATTTAATTTTTATAATAATATTTTTTTTAATATCTCCTTTATAATAATAATAAGAAAAAAAATTTACTATTCTAATATTTAATACTAATACTTTTTCGCAAAATAGCATATTGCCACCCTGAAAAATTGGCGTGCTGGCTGTTCGGTTCACCCAGCAAATCGTGCTGGCTGTTCGATTTCGAAAACTCTCTCACTCCGTGCTGTGTACAACAACAATTGCACGGTGATTGCCAATCGAAATTGGTGGCGTAACCACGGCCTTAGTAAATACCTGGAAACCAAAAGTGAAAGTGAACCGGTGCGGAAAAAAATGAAACTCATGATAAGGCTGATTACACTTAGAGGCTGCCAAATTTTACCTAGCACATGAGCTAGATAAAATTCTGATGTTCGCATTCACCACGAAACTATCAAATTTGTAAACTAGCAATTTTCAAAGATTTGTTTGCGGTCATGTCCGGTAAAAATACTTGAAAAGGAGTCACGGCAAACCCGGATTTTTTTTTTGATATTCCTCCTTGCACTGCGGCAAATTCCATTTGGAAGAGTAACGGAACTAGTCCAAATGACGCTGACGCAGTGCCCGTTATTCTTCCAAATGGATTCTTCCCGCAATGCAAGGGTATAAAACACCTGCTGGCAATCCTGGAGCGGCCATTTGCGATATTGGTTTTGACAAGTGAAATGGAACGGGTAAGGAAAAAAACACAAGTGAAGCAAATAAAAAGACGGAGAAACATCGTGTGCGCGTAAATGAAGAAAAAAAATAAAATTAAAACCTTTTAGTTAAGGAAAAAGAGAAATTACAACAATTTTGATCGAATTCCGGCGCGAGTGAGTGCAGTGTCTTGCAGTTAAAGCAACGGCAGCATAGTTTGTCCGGAGATCCAGGCCGGAATCCGTGGTGCAGCGTAAATCAACCAACATTGTTTTTTGTAATTGAGTGAGCGCTAGTGCGTTGAGCTATAGGGAATGTACATGATTCAAGTTCCACAAGTTGAATCAAAAGTTGAACGAAAGTAGGCAGCGACCAACTTCATTGAAAGCAATTAGTTAAATGGCGTTACGCCAGGTGATTGTCGCTTCCAACTAAAAATCGCCAGAAAATTCGTCTCATGTTAATTCCCTATCAAGGCAAAAACGTGCGACCGGTGGTCCACCTGACGCGTCATGACGTCATGACGGGGGGGTTGCTCTGGTTTGCAACGTTCGGAGTATGGATGTTTGCGTAAAAATCCAGAACCTTCTTGAAATTTTTTTTGCAAATGATGCAACTCGGCGCCACGTCGAGGCTTGCAGCTCCCTCGTGTACGCTAGTTTTTTTTGTAGCTCTTTTGCTTGCTATTTTCGTTTTTGTTATTACATATTAACCACTATCTTTCACCCACAGCGACCGCGCAAAGAGCGGCAGTGGTAACCGCGGAAGCGCTTAGCAGCAACCGGGGCGAGCACCCGGGTCAACACCACACCCGCCTAAGAAGCGGCACCAAGCAACCGCCTAAGGGAGCGGCAAACCAGCGAGCCCAAAGAGCGGCAAACCAGCAACCGCCAAAGCGGCACCAAGCAACCGCCTAAGGGAGCGGCAACCCAGCGAGACAGAGCGCACAAAGAGCGGCAAGCCAGTGACCACCTAAGGAGTGGTAACTCATCAACCGGGGTGAGCACCCGGGTCAGCACCACAGTGACCGCCCAAGGAGCGGCACCAACAACAACAAAATCAACAACCGGGGTGAGCACCCGGGTATAAACAGCAACCGGGGTAAGCACCCGGGTAACCAGCGCGCCCAAAGAGCGTCAGGACACCATCGACCGCCTAAGGGAGTGGCAACCCAGCGCGCCAGAGCGTCAGCGGCCGCGCAAAGAGCGGCAACTCAGCGACCGCCCAGGAGCGGCATAAGCAACCGGGGTAAGCACCCGGGTCAGCACAAGCGACCGCCCGAGGAGCGGCGGCAACAACAACAACATCAACAGCCGGGGTGAGCACCCGGGCAACTCAGCGAACCACCTAAACGGCACCTCAGCAACCGCCTAAGGAGCGGCACCAGCAACAGCAAAAGCGGCAACCAGCAACCGGGATAAGCACCCGGATCAACACAGCGGCCGCCCAAGGCGCGGCAACAACAACCACAACATCAACAACCGGGGTAAGCACCCAACGGCGACAACAACAACAACCTCAGCAACGACTACAACAACAACAGAAGTGCCACGCACAAGCCTGCTGCAACGGTGGGTGAGTTCCTATGAAAATACAAACACATTAGGGTGGGAGAAAAAAAAAAAAAAATTCAATTTTTAAGATTAAAAATAAAAATAACAAAAATAATTAGGATTTGAAGTTGCGCTAAAATAGGGATATTTAAACAAAACTAAAGAGGTTGAACTCCATAGAAGTATAATAACTTAAAGTGGAAAATATGTATGTATATATATATATAAGAAGCAAAAATATTAAGGGAAGTAAGGGTAAAACAAAATTGTACCAAATTAAATGAAGATAGAGGAATCCAAATTAATAGTAACAAAAAGAGGAAAAGAAACCCGAATTTAATTTTAAAATATAAACACATATGTGTGTATATATGTGCATGTGTGTCAGGTTGACGCATATATATCCATACATATAAAGGCATATATGTACATAGGGAATAAAAATTTAGACCTAAGGAAACAATGAAGCAGGAATAGTATGAAATCGCTTGAATAACTTGAAATAACTCAAACCAACAAATTTAATCAAATTAAATTAAATAAAGCTAAAGTTTAAATAAATAGATAAACCCAAAATTTTAATGAAATGAAAAGAAAATATATGATATAAAATAACCTTTTACGAAAATGCAACTAAAATAAATTTAAACAAATAAACATTAAAAAATCATAACAACCAATGACCACTATATAATAACAGCAATATAAATAGATAATAATAAGACTAATAATAATAATAAACTAAAAAGACGCGAGAAAATAGGAGATTAAAGAAAATATATAAATACCTGGGCGAAATCCAAATCAATAAAAATATACCTATAGGAAAAGTAGAACTGAAAAAAATTACCTAGACTTTATTTAGTTTAAGTTTAGTGACCGTATTTAGCATACTAGACTTACCTTGATACTCATACTTACCCTGAGGGGAATACTTACCTGATTTGACTTGTTTTCCTAAATATAGCAACCCGACTTACCTACCTGATTTGTTTTATCGGACTTACTAACCTGCTTGACTTACCTTAATTATACCGATGGAATACTTACCTTTTGACCTTACCCTAGATACTTACCTTACGAAGACACTTTCCACTTGAAGTACTTATCTTATTTAGAATTAAATTTATTAAATATACTTACCTGAATTAACCTTACATCACTATTTACCTTAGCGTTAGTTTTTTTTTTTTTATGATCTCCTTAGAGTAAGAACTTTTAGATGTTAGGAACTAGTTCTAAGGAATGATAGGGATTAAGAACTTTAGCGTTAGGAATTCGTTTTAAGNATTAGGTTAAGAACAATAAGCTTTTATTAATAAATTGTTAATAAAATGGGAATGCTGAGTCGACTCATTATTTAGGAAGGCATGTAGGGACTTTCAATAATGGATGAGGGTGGGTCAGTACCAGGGGCCACACTTCCACCAGGGGCCCCAACCATATTCGGCCTTAGGTTTTTTTTTGATTGTCTTTAGTTTGAATTTGTTCTCGTTTGATTTTTCAGTTTATTTTAATTTTTACATTTTAACGTTCTTTTTCAGCTCTTTTTGTTTTGTAACGGATTTTTTGTGAGTTTTGAATTGTTGCGTGTCCGCCCGTTGGGATGTTTGACAGGCATGACTTTTCTCTGCTATGGCGCAGGGAACAGTAGTGAGGCAAGAACCCCGCCCAGCCGACATGACTAGCCACAGTGCACCTCATTGTGTCATGCCGCCTACACTCACTGCTGCTCCCAATGTATGCATACCATAACAGATGGCGCCCAACGGGGTAGCCTGAGGTCTGGTCAGGTTGACTGGTCCTGACTGGCACATTGGGCTTCACCATCCCGCAAGTCCCAGGGGGGCATGAGATTGCTTCCCCTTGCTGTGTTGCGGCGGGATGAGTGTGCTGGTTCGGATTCGTCCTCTTGGTCAGCAACCGAAGGCTTCTCCGAGACTTCACGTCACGTCCTCCGGAGTTTTG